TGATTGATATTTTAATTTCTTCTGTATCTCTTTGACTCTGCTTCATGCAATCTATTTCTTTGCTGTGTTGCTCATTCAAGGAATCTGTCATTTTTCTAATTTCCTCTATTTTTTTTAATCAATGTCTTCTTTAGAAGCAGTTATGAATTCTTTTATTGCAGTGTTTTTTTCATATTGGGTTTCCTCCCTGTGTTTCTGTAATTGATTCTTTACTTTAGATGCTATGAGTTCTGAGAATTCTTTTTTTTATTTCAGAAAAGAATTCCACTCTGAGTTCCTCTATAACTTTCTGCTGTTGCTTATTTACTATCAACGCTATTAATTCATACATTTGAGCTGAGTTAGTGTCTTCTGCACTTGTTCTGGGTGGGCTTTGGGTTTCCTCCATATGTTTCTGCATTTGATTCTTTCCTGAAGATTTTATTAATTCAGGGATTTGTTTGTTTCATTTCCATTCTGAGTTCCTCTGTACCTTTCTGCAGTTGTTTCTTTATTTTAGAAGCCATTGATTCATTGCTTTCAGCTGTGTGATTCCCAATTTGTTCTGTGTTAGTGTCCTCTGCACTTGTTATGGGTGGGCTTGGGTTCTGAGATTGCATTTTGCTCCTTCTCATTGTCATTTTGTGTAGCACTGTCTTCTTACATTTTTTGTAAATATTTGTTGCAGTGATAGCCTTAGCACCTACTGAAGTTCAGGGGCAGATGTACAAAGTTTGGATTTATCCAGCTTGCCTGTCTTGGGTCTGGCTGCTGTGCTGCTCTTCTTCCTGTTGCTGCCCTTGATGTTGAACCTGTTGAGCCTCTCTGTTAAGATGTTCTGCTCCTGGACTAGCTGGGTGGTTCTGTCACCTATACTCTCTGCAGCGATTGCTGCTGCATGGTTTCATCACAGGCCTGAGCTGAGTCTGGAGGGGACAAGTTGGAGTAGGGGGGAGAGGCAGTTCTCCCACACACTCACCAGCCCTGGACTAGGACTGGATCTAGGAGTTCCCAGAACATGACAGAAATTCCTACTCTGTGGGCGGGGTGTGGGTGGGGATACTATGGAGTGATGGGGGGCGTTCCAATAGGGTGAAAAAGATTGTCACCCATGGTGTGCCTGGGCTGGACCAGTAGGCCAAGCCAGCACAGGGTAGCCAGAAGACCTCCCACGCACTCAAGGTGCCTGGGCTAGGACTGGATCTGTGGGTTACAGGAATGCAGCAGAAATTTCTACTGGTCAGGCGGGGTATGGGAGGTGCTGTGGAGTGGTGGTGGGCATCTCAAGGGGGTGGAAGAGGGTCTCACCTATGCCGTGCCTGGGCTGGGACCAGTAGGTCCCGCAGGTGCAGTGTAGCCGGAATCTCTCCCACACACTTATCAGCCCTGGGCTAGGACTGGGTCTGGGCGTTCCTGGAATGTGGCAGAAATTCCTACTGGGTGGGCAGGGTGGGGGATGTGGTGTGGAATGGTGAGGAGTATCCAAGGGGGTAGAAGATGGTCTCACCCACGCTGCTCCCGGCCTGGGACCGGTAGGTTCTGCTGGCGCAGATTAGCCGGAAGCTCTCCCACACACTCACCAGGCCTGGGCTAGGACTGGGTCTCTGTATTCTTTCTTAAAAGTTTTCTTCTTTGGTTCTTTGTGTTTGTTCACATTTTTGTGTTTGAAATGTGGCAAAATCTTTCCCAGCTTTGTGATTATAATTCATAATCTTTTGCCAATTCTTATTTTATCATTAAGGTTTCAATATTCTGAATTCGATGTATATTCTTCATGGTATCTAAAACTACTTTTCGAACCTCTTTTAAAAACCACTAAAGGTCCAACGGCTGCGACTGTATTTCCCTGAACCATAATGTAACAGTTCATTAAGAGTTCCAAAGCCTTCAAATAGGTCCTTGTCTTGGGACCAATATGTCATTGTCTTCAAAAGTGAATTTTGCAGCCCAAAACCTAAGCCAGAAAAGTGAGATTAATCAGAAGTCCTCACTGTTCCTAATGGTTGGAAGGAACCAACTTTTTCTAAAGAGGACAATCCCAGAAGACTCTTGGAGGAGAGCAGTTTTGCAACTCTGTTCCCAAAATATAGAGAAGCCTACTTGAAAGAGCATTGGCCCTTGGTACGGAAGGCCTTGAATGAACGTCACATCAAAGCCACCCTGGACCTAACTGAGGGCAGCATGACTATCTGCACTACAGAGAAGACTTTTGATCCAAAATCTTTAGGGCCAGAGATCTAATAAAACTGTTAGCAAGAAGTGTTTCATTTGAATAGGTAGTATGAATTCTTCAGGATGATATTGCATGTGACCTCATTAGAAGATGAATATTTTAAGTCTGTCTTCATTCTCAGAAATCCAGCTCCATATTCTTCCCCTAGACATCCTTGTTACCAAGAAATCTTCTTGAGTCCTTGGCCAATTAGCTAGTTCCTTTTGACTGCCCGTGAATCTGTACCTTTCTGCTTTTAGGTAACATGAACAACAGAGGTATTGCTTGAACTTATGCCTGCTTACTCTTTTCTTTTCATATTGGGATCTTGCTATATTACCTAGTCTGTCCTGAAACTCACAATGCTTTTACTTCAGCCTTCCAAGTAACTGACATGTAACTCCCAAACTCAGCTTCTACATGCTCATTTGAATAAGAATAAACTGTCCAGCTCTGTTGCTGCTAGTACATATGGTGTGGGCCCACTTGTAGACTGACCCTTTTTTTTTTAAAGTGGGCTTCTATTTGGTACGTAAAGTGGAATTGAGTTGTGGGAGACAGCAATAGGTATATGATTCACTGGGAGTCTGAGTCTCTTTGTATGCAGTTTACCTTTGTTTCTAGACACTTCTGCAGAGTATTGCTGTGATCACCCAGCTTTATGTTGTGTGGATCAGATAACAACTATCTCAGGGTGAGACATTCTGATTAAATTCAAAGTGTCTCACAGTAAAGTTTTCAACCTTTACTGTTCCAAGTGCCAAGTCATGAGTATTTGTGTGTGTGTGTGTGTGTGTGTGTGTATGGAGTACCTGGCACTTTATTCAGAATAATTTGTCCAAACATGGCATATGTTGCCTCTAATATCCAAATAAGGCCACCAGGCCTACTTCCAGTGTAGCTGTAGTCACCTATATATAGTACATACAGTTGTTTCCAACTTCCGAGGTGATACCTTGGTGTATCCTAGATCACTGCAGCCCTAAAGCTTGACCATTCTTGTAGGTTACAGAAATGCAGTCTTCATCTCATCTCTAGAGTATATGTCTTTTACGAAAGCATTTGTGAACCTTGCTACTTCCCGTGCATAGGTCTAGAAAACATACTGTTAAAATCTCAGTGAGGGGCCAGCAAGATAGCTCAGTGAACTAAAGTGCCTGTTTAGGTAAACTTAGGCAAGACTGAAATTTGACTCCCAGCACCACATGCCACCCCCACCCTGCCCCCAGAGCTGGCTGAGCTGGCCACAGACACCTGTTGTAGTGGTGTGTGCCTGTAATCTCAGCACTGGGGAGGCTGAAAACAGGAGGATTACTATGAGTCTGAGCTGCGAAGTGAGACCCTGTGATAACCAAATACATAAAAAAAGGGGCCAACACAATATGTTGTGGGCTATAAAGACAATCACATTTTCTCTGGCTTATGTTATGGAGAGAAGAAAAAGAGAGTCAACATAGCTGTAAATTAAGGTACAGCAATGCTATACTTACTGATCCCTTATGATTACGCTTTTGTTGAAGTCAAGCTACTTTGGGTTGTTTTGCTCATAAAAGCAGGCCAGTTACTAGGACAGTTGCTGCTTACCTGTTGCTGGAGGCTATGTTGATTTGTTCAACTCACATTACCATATTGGGAATCTGCGAAGTGATTGCCATCACCACAAAATTAAGTTTGCGGTAATTTTTAGTCGTTCTTTATCTTTATCTTTAATTTACATTTTACGCCAGACATACAAGCATGTTAAATGATAATCATATAGTTTCAAGCTTTAACAGTGGCAGTAGGCCATGGAATGCCACAAGGATGCCATAATACTTTTAATTGAGCATTTTGAAAATGGTTACTGGGCTTTCCTATGGCATTCTTTGCCATAATAATTCTTGCTTCATTGGGTAGGTGCCCAATGTAAGGATTTTGCTAGTACTTATATTATAACCATAATTCTGGAATTTTGGTGATAATAGTTGAGTGGACTTGCAATTCTTTTGGATTTACTGTTAAGATGATCTTGAAAAAGATCCTATATATGACATGGACTTGATGGGCATGGATTTCTACAAGTTGACTACAAAGTATTTATTACTAGTACAGACACCTTACCATTAAATGTCGTGATCTTTTTGAAAATTTAAGTCTCCATCTTATCCTGCCCCTTATCTAATACCACCTTTGGTAGTATTTTGAGAAACCATTTTATCATTGCATGCACTGAATTACCAGTAATGTATTTTTCCTTGGGAAAAAGAAAAAAAAATCACCTGTGTGCTGCTTCAATATGTGATCAGTGTAAGCTAAGAATGCTATCTAGAGTCTGTTTTCAATATTTCTCATATCAGTCATTGTGTCAGTAGTGGTCCTAGCAGGAACCAGATAATATGCTTGCATTGGATAGTTTGGTCAAATGGCTATTTCATGAGCTGAGAGCAGATCCTACTGGCTATGCTGAATAATATCAGGGCTGTTTAAGAAATTAGATAAATTGAAAGTTATGGTGCATCTGGCCATTAGATTATGGTCTGATAAAAATTTCTTCATCAAGTTAGCCCTTTTTATCTTTTATATAGTTATAGATATCTGTAAAAATTTTAGGTGTTCAGTTTTAAATTATTGATAAGCCTGACACAGACTCAGTATTTTTATATATCAGTAAAATGTTATATGTAGAAGTTCAGCTTTTTGCTCTAGGACCAGTGATGTCTCTCTATCCTTAGGCAGTTGATTAAAAAATTAAAATATTCATAATTAGAAAAGTATTTTACTATCTTTCAATGAAATGACTTTTTAAACATTTCTATTGATATTATTATAGTATTCCAAGGGCTTAACTTTGGAGGCATTTTCAGTTATTGTCATCCAGATGTTGGGACTCAGTCTGGGAATAGCATATGATGATCCAACAAAATGTCACTGTTCTGAAGCCATCTGTGTAATGACTCCAGAAGCCATGTAAGTTTTTTAAGTGATTTATTTATTGGTTATATTTATTTAGCTTTCAATGTAGTATTATAGATCAACTTAACTACTCAATAATACATTATTTTAAATGCAAGAATAGTATATAATGTAATAGACTATTAAAGCCAAGAAACAAAATATATTGATTTTACAAAATATATTACCAAAAGAATTTTACTTAGGATTCATGTTATGGAAGCATTTATTAAGTCTCTTTAAAAATAATTGGTGTTTTGTTGGTAGTAAAAATTTTTGGTTTTCGTTTAGATTACATATTTTGATATGGGAAATTCAAAAATGTTGCATAACTTTGGGCAAAAAAAATGAGGTTGGTTTATTATCTATCTCATTTTTAAATGAGTATAATTATGCCTATTACTTTATTATAAGGATGATGTAAGAATAAAATGAGAAAATTAAAAAATTATAAAATCCTATATGTTCTATAGTAATTTCTGAATTTATCAGTGCTGCCCTAAAATGCTTCAACACAAAAGGTACAGCACAGGGCTGGGAAGATAGCTCAGCTGTCTAAGTGCCTGTTTAGCGAATGCAAGGACATGGGTTCAATTTCTATACCGCATGCCATGCCAGTCCCAGAACCCTGGGAATTGCTGTGCCAGTCACTGAAACCAGATGGTGGTGCACGCCAGTAATCCCAGTGCTGGAGGCGGGGCTGAGACAGGAGGATCACTGTTAGTTTGAGCTGCTTAGCAAGACTCTGTACCAAATAAATAATTAATTAATTAAATAGATAAATAGGTTAAAATAACTTTTTTAAAAAAGAAAAGGTACTGCACATACCATTGGTAGTCTGAAGTACCTAGTTTCTTCAGGGTTTTATCATAAATAGATGTTGAATTTTATCTGATGCTTCTCTTCCATGTATTAAGATGATTTCATGCTTTTCATATTTGAGCTCATATCTGTGGTATGTTTTATTTATTGATTTGCACATTTGAGTAAACTTTGTATCCCTGAATGAAAACTGACTTGATCAAGTGTATATGATCTTTAGTGTGTTTTTGCATGTGATTTGCAAGTATTTTATTGAGGGTTCTTGCATTCATGTTTATGAAGAATATTGGCCTATAGGTTTTTCATGCCTGTTTTTTCTATCAGGCTGATGTTGAACTCCTAGAGTAAGTTTGAAAGCATTTTTTCCCTTTCTATTTGTGGAATAATATAAGACACAAAGGTGTAAATTCTTTAAAGGTCTGGTAAAATTTGCCCAAGAACCAAACTGGTTCTCAGTTTATTTATTTATTTATTTATTTGTTTGGTCCAGGGTCTCACTATGCAGCTCAGACTCACAGTGATCCTCCTGCCTCAGCCTCCCCAGCGTTGGGATTATAGGCATGCACCACAATGCCCAGTATTGGTGGCCAGTACATCATGCACTTTCAGGCATTAACCCAGGTCCTTGTGCTTGCCAGGTCAGTGCTTATACCACTGCACTGTCTCCCTAGCGCTCAGCTTTTCTTTATCAGAAGACATTTTATTTTTGCCTTAGTAATTGCTTATTACTGATCTATTGAGATCTTTAAATATCCTCTTAGCTCAATTTTGGTAGATAATGTGTCTAGAATTTTTTCTCTTTTCTAGTTTCTTTGATGTATTAGAATGCAGGCTTTAAAATTAGTTCATAGTGATCCTCTGGATTGCAGTGGTATCGATTGTAATATCCCTTGTTGATCTCTAGTTCTGCCATTTGGGATCTTCTCTCCCATCCTTTCAGTCAGTTTGGCTAATAGTTTGCCGATCTTGTATTTATCATTGTTGGCATTTCAAAGAACCAGTTTTCTTTCACTGATGTTGCATATGATTATTTTAGTATCTATTTCATTAATTTCATCTCAAATCTTTATCATTTCTTTCCTTCTACTGGGTTTGATTTGTTGTCACTTAGCTCTTGAGAAGCACTGTTAGGTTATCTATTTGATAACTCTCTTGTTTTCTGATGTAGCCCCCTATAAACTTCTTTCATACATCTGCCTTTGCTATATATAGATTTCGGTATGTCTTATTTGTACTTTCATTTGATTCTAGGATTTTTAAAATATCTTTTATAAATTTTTCAATTAAAAGTTCATTTGATTATTTCAAAGGAAATTGTTCAATGTCGATGTTTTCATAGTTTATATATTTTCTCTTATTTTAACTTCTAGTTCATTCCATTATGATCTGAGGAAATACAACAAATTACATCTTTTTATCTGTTAAGGTTTGTTTTATAGCCTAGACTCTGATATTTTTAAGAATGTTTAATGAGCTACTGAAAATAATGCATCTTTTGTAGTTCTTGGATGTAATGCTTTGTAAATATTTGTTATATTTATGTGATGTTGATTTTTTAAAATACGGATGACTTGTAGTGAGAGTGGAGTACTACTTACCTGCTATTATTATTCCGTAATGTTAAGTAGTGTTTGTTCTAAGGCTTTGGAGACACTGATATCTACTGCATATTCGTTTATGATTATTACATCTTCTGGGTGGATTGTTTCCATTACCAGTATGTGGTATTTTTTCTTGGTTCAATCTAGCTTTGCCTTTATGTTTGTTTTATACTAAAAAATGAGTATAGCTATTCCTGTTTCTTATCAGACTCTATTACATGGAATATAATTTTCCACCTTTTCACATTTGCTAATGAAGTATATTTCTTATAAACAGCACAGAATTGAATCTAGTTTTAATCTAGGCTGCCAGTCTGTATTTTCACTGGAAGGTTAAAACCATTTACATTCAGTGTTACGGAATGACACATATCAATTTCTGTTGTCCTGTTGTTTGATTCTTTCTTAATTGGTAACACCTTCTCTTCCTCTTCTGTATGTAGGATTTCTGTAAGTATCTTTTTCAGTGATGGGGTAGTGATGAATAATTTCTTTATGTTTATCTTTACTTTTTGTTCAACTTTGCAAGATCTTTGGATACATTAATATAGGTTTGCAGTGACATTCTTTTAGGACTTGGCTACACTGAAAGGCTCTCTAGGTTTTTTAAGCTCTTACAAAGAAGTCTGCAGTTATTCTGATGGGTTTGCCTGTGCGATTGTCTTGGCATTTTTCTCTTGCAGCTATCAAAACAAGTAAAGAAGGAAGGGCGGAAGAGCCCACTGGGCATGGTGGCACATGCCTGAATCCAAACTTTTGAGAGGCTGAAGCATGAGGATTGCTGTGAGTTTAAGGCTAGTCTGAGTTTCATAGTGAGTTCAAGGCCAGCCTAAACTACATAATGAAACCCTGTCTCAAAGAAAAGAAAATCATTAAAGACTTCTAAAAGCAAATGAAATTAGGTAAAAGTAACATCCAAAGCATAAATCAACAAGAAAAAAAAAAAAAGAAACTGGAGAATAAGAACAGAAAATAATGATGGCGGAGGGGGAATAGAACCCCAAAAGATAAAGAAGATAAATCCAAAAACGTTCAATAAAATGAGACAAAATTATTCCAATAAAATTAGGTAAAGTAACGTGTAAAAAGCAATAAATACGTAAAGAAAAGAAAAGGAAGAAATTAATCAAAAGCAGGAAACAAATTGAATTCACAAACCAAAGAAAACCAAAACAAAGGAAAAAAATCTAAACATTTTTTCCATGCCAAGGTATTTGGATGAGAATAGAATTTTTATAAAATCTATTGGGCATGGGGTAGGGGCCCTGGCTGTGGGAATGCTTTACCTACTGCTCTTGCCTGGGCAGGCAGTGCTATGTTTTGTTTCTCAAATCTGTCTTTTTTCTGGAGGCTTAGTGATTGTATCCTCTGTGCACCCTAAGCTACTGCTGTCCCCAGATAGTGTGGTGTGTGAATGAGAGAGATGCCGCCCTCGCTCCAGAGTCTGACCTGAGTACACTGGGGCATAACTTAATGCTGCACGTATTTGGGGGGTAGCGTGGGGAAAGCAAACAGATGACTGAGTTGTTGCTGGAAGGAAGCTAGAAAGGGAAACCAAGAAATTGCTTTATTCTGGCAAGTGCATACCCAGCCACCTCAGAAAGCCACACTCAGTGGGCCTGGGCCCTCACAAAAGAGCTGAAGAACACTGACCGCCATGACCTCCACAGCCTGAGCTCCCTGCTACTTAAACTTCTCACGGGTATGGAGGTAGACCCTCGTCCTCTGCATGACTCTTTCTCTTAGCTGTCTCCCATACCAGTCACTGCAGCAGGGTGTCCCCAGTGATCTAGAAATGTGGGATGTTCAGTAAACTTCTATCGCTGGGGCAACTCAGTCTGAAGCACCAAATCCTTTCTCATATTGGAAGTTTTTCATACTGCTCCAAGATATGATAAGCTCAATAGTGAATTTCTTCTCTAAGGGTAGCCTGCTTAGGCAAGAGGATCATTTCTTTCCAAACAACTGCCCACACTGGACTTTTACCTTGCCATAGCCTTTTTTTTTCTTTCCATAATTTTATTGAGAAACAAATAGCAATGAAACAGTTTCAAATGAAATTGGTAGGACAGTTTCAATAATTAACACATTGCATACATTCTTCCTAATGGTTATTTGCTGTACAAGATGTGGACATGATATCCTATTTACAAACACTATTAGAACAAATCCCTCTATTCATTAAGAGAATGTAACTATATTCTACTATATAAGAGAATGTAACTATATTCTATTATATGCTACTTAAACTTCTCACGGGTATGGAGGTAGACCCTTGTCCTCTCCATGACTTTTTCCCTTAACTGTCTCCCATACCAGTCAACCCTTTTGAATACACAGATACATATTGGACATTCATCTGTATCCCCTTTTTTGTTTAGTTCCATTATTTGAATGTTATAAGTGTGTTAACTCAGCAAAATATTCTAAAAGAGTTCTGTAGTCCATAATAGTATTGGGTCTTCGGCTTCACTGGCAATGTTAGAAATTGTTGACCTGAGTCCCCTACAGCTCAACATAACAGCACGGCTTTACTTCTTATATTTCGTTTTTATACTTTTCTGCTGGATGGTTAGGACCAAGATAAAGCAAGACCTATGCAACAAGAATTGTAGCTGTTGGATCTGATAAGGTCAGTCAAATCCCCTCAGGAATTTTCCTGAGATCCTGTACCTCAGATTGTAGATTTTTTGTCAGTGTCAGCCATGTGGATGAGTTACGGCCATTGCTTGGCCAGTGTGCTCTCTGTGAAAGCCTGAGAGAATGTTTTCTCTCCATGTGGCTCTCCTTAGGCATACTCTACATCATCGATCACTTTCCTCTTTGGCCCCATAATTTCCTTGATCAGAAAACTGTCCTGCTTCAAGGTTGTATATGGTTAGATTTCTGGACTTATATGTAAACATAAGAATTATATAATTCTTTATGCCTATTTTTAAAATATATTTTTAATTTTTAAATGTTTTTTCATCATATTCTATAGGGACTTAAAGTTTAGCATATCAATACTTGATAAAAAATACCTATTCCATGTTATGCCTAAGACAGATAGTGAGGTTAAGTGGGTCTTCGGCTTCACTGGCAATGTTAGCTTTGGGTTTCTTCTGTGGTCTAGTGCTTCCTCTTGTTGATCAGTGGGACTGCTGGCCCCTGGAGTCCTACCTTGTAGTGCAGAATCCCATTCCCTTTTCTTAGAAGACAGGGTTAGGGTTGGGAACTGCTTAGTTCTTTCTATGTTGCCTCTGTGTTTCTCCATAATTTTTACCTTTCATGTTAGGCCTTTCCTGATTAGCAGAACTCTTTTTTTTTTTCTCCCTTGCTGGATAGTTGTTTGCCAGCAGTCGTGATTCCAAGTCACAAAGCTGTAATATAAAAAAGATAATTACTCATAGTTAGATAGTTTGTGGCTGAACTGTTATGAATCTGGGGTAATAAAACCTCTAGAATTTTATGGTAGGTTGTGTTTCAAAATGCTCTCATTTTTATTATTGGTTTCTCACAAATCTTTTGTGATGTGCGTAGGGGAAGATTATCTTAGTTTTTATAAAATCTAATGATGCCATATATATGTGTGTATACATATATAATATAATATTATATATATGTGTGTATACATATATATGTATATATATTCTGCATTTCTATTAGATGTACTAAACATGGTAGCTACATTTTTTATGTGTTTAGTGTAGGATATACAGGGCCTCACTACACAGATGGGATCTGTAGTGATCCTCCTGTTTTCAGCTTCCCAAGTGCTAGGATTATAGTCACGTACCACCACATCCAGTCTCAATTGCTGTCTCAGTGCACTCCGGGGCTTGGCCAGCACAGCATGGCGGGGATCACACTCTGGTCCCTGCATCTGCCAAAGCAGGCACTTTAATCTGCTGAGCTATCTGGCTGACCTATTTAGAAATTTTTGCACTGTGATTTCAGTCAATAAATTTTATTTTAACTTTCCCCTAAGGCCTGGAATACTTAGTTCTCCTTTACTTAGTTAGTAGTTCTTTGAACTAGTGTCCATGGTGCTTTGTGCTTTTAAAGGTAGTTCTGAGTACATTTTCTACACACCAGCATTATTTTTAAATTTTGAACATTTGTGCTCCAAGATTGGTCACTTCTGTTACAAAGCTACAAAGGCCATGCCAAGCTCCCTGGTTAGTGGTGCTGATTAATTGCACAAGTATATAACATATTAACCTCATAATAGATATTCAGTAAATATATTTTCTCTTTCACTTACTCATTTGTAATCTGTATCCAGACAGCCTATGAAAACATTCCTAGAATTTCTTTACTAGTGTTATACAAATCTAATGATATAACATATTAATACGTGTACAGTTTCTCAGAGATCTTTGAGGAAGTTCTGGACTAACTACAATATAATTTGTTTAATAAAATGAGTTGTTAATTGAGTAATTTTTTAAGGGAAGTCATATCTGTTTAATACCTTTGCTTATTTGTAGATTGCTTTTAGTTCTATTGGTCTATACCTAATCTTGTTTTAATAGTCATATATACTAATGAATGAAGCCACATGACCTCCACAAATCCTATTATAAATATTAGGTGCATGTAATATTACCTATGAAATTAAACAAATATATTACTTATGATTTCAGAAATGTATTGATAATTACATTATCTGGGTTCACTTTTAGACAGTCCACTGGTGCAAAGACTTTTAGCAATTGTAGTATAAATGACTTTAGAAGTTTCATTTCAAATGTGAGAGCCAAATGTCTTCAGAATAAACCACAGATGCAAAGAAATCCAAGGCCAGTATGTGGAAATGGCAGAGTGGAAGGAAATGAAATCTGTGATTGTGGTAATGAAGAAGTAAGTCTGATAACCAGGAAAACAGACTAACAGCTGTATTGTTTTACATAAATGTTAGACCCCCTAACTGTGACTTAATACCATGAAGAATAATGATGGAAAGTGAATCAGTTTGAAACACAAACCAGAAAATAGTGTTTTTTAAAGGTTTTAATTTCTATATAGCGCTTTGAATCTGCTTCATACATTCTATTTCTTTCCTCATTCAAGAATTCCATCATTTTTCTATTCTCTATTTTTTATCATTGTCTTCCTTAGAAGCACTTAGTACTTCTTCCATTATAGTTATCATTTCTTCTTTTACTTCAGAAGTTATTTCTGATCTGATTTCCTCTGTACATTTCTGTAGTTACTTCTTTACCTCATACACTATTATTTCAGAGATTTCAGGTATATGATTTCCGATTTCTTCTATGCTGTTGTCTCCTACATTTGTTTGGGCAGGCTCGGGCCTGAGACTGCATTTTGCTTCTTTTCTTTGTCATTTTGCATAGCACTGTCTTCTGACCTTTTGTGTAGAGCTTTGATAGAATTATTATCTTAGCACCTGGTCTGGATCTACCAAGTTCAAACTCCAGGTGGGTGTGGCTTGGGTAAGTCTTCTGCACTTAACTTCTTCCTGCTGCAACCCTTGGAAGTGAACCCGCTGTACCACTCTGACAAGATGTTCTGCTCCTGGATCAGCTGGGTGGTCTTGCCTCCAGCTGCTCTGCAGGGAGTTCTGCTGCAGGGTTCCACACCAGGCCTGTCTGATGGAGGAAGTTCCACTCACATGCTGGGCCTGGGTGCTGGCTTGAATGAGGATCTGGTGAGCCCTTGGTGGTGTCACTCACACACGGGCCTGGACTCTCTCATTGGAAAATTTCAATTCAAAAAGTAGCTGAGGAAGGAGAAGATCATCAGTAGAAAAAAATGGAAAATATAGGTAAGAAATCTAAACAATGGAAAAAAAGAAGAGAATGGAAAAAAAGAAAGAAAAGGAAGAAAAATATAGACTCAAAGAGAGGAAAGAATAAAATCTAAGCACAGGAATAACCACAGAATACAAAACAAGACATTACCAACCAAACAAAAAAGGGATAGCAAGTCAGACAAACAAAGGAAAATAAAAATAGTAAAATAGTTCTGGTGTTTACAAATCTGTGATAGTGTCCATGTCAGATCCCAGAAATGTACTCCAGCCAAGTTTGTCATGGCAATTGTGCTGGATATTGAGCTGATCTTGGCTCCTGATGTAGGGTTTGGGACTGGTCTTCTCTTGGTGGAATCCTCCACAGGCCAGCTGCTGCCTGCTCGCTACTGCTTCAGGCACTTCCCATGTTGCTTGTCTTGCTGATTATGCAATGTGCCTGGACCAGCTGTCTTGGCTCTTGTGAGTTCCTTCTGTCCACCTGCCAAAGGCATATATGTGCCCGGCCTGTCCTGTCCTAGGTGTGTTTATTTTTTCTATGCCCTTTGCATGTAGCTCTTATTCTTCTGCTATACTGATTATATGGAAATTTGATCTTAAAATATTATTTTAGAACTCTTGTATTTTCCCTTCATTCTTTTTGAAGATAGCAAGATTTTTACATTTAATGAAGATAGGAAAAGAAACAGGCTGTTCAGAGCAAATTTGGGCCAAGGAGAAAAAGAGACACACTGCACAGTGTGAAGGAAGCCTACCATGAAGGAACACAATGGCCATGTTTTCTTTATTTTTTGGTGTCTGAATGTGATGCTATACCAGATCTGTCTTTAAGCTACTCTTTATTCTGCTTGACCAAAATTGAGATTTTCATCTGAATATTGAGTATAAGTTTTTGTGCTTTTTTATTTGAAATTCTCTGAGCCTTTTTTTTTCTTCAGAACCTCTAAGTGTTCATCCATATCCTTAATTGTCTTCCAGAATTCACTCAACTGTTTACTTTTATTCTCTTAGATATCTTTTTCTTTTCTTTTAGATTTATTTGAACTTTCAAAAAAAGTTATACTTGTAATTTTTTTGGTGGTTTTTCCACTTCAATTTCTTTGGAATTTGTTACTATGATGTTGTGATGTATTTTTAAAAATTGATTTTGTTCGTCCATTTTTAGGTCTGCCTAAGCAGGTGCTTTAGTCTGCTGAGATATCAGGCTGACCCAATAGGCAGATTTTTTTTTTTGCTCTTTAAAGCAGATATTTGTTGTTTTCCTAAATATCTTACTTTTTTCTTAGAAGTCACTAGTAATTATTACTTTTACCTTCTTCTACATGAAAGAGTATATTTTTCATGGTACTTTCAACATATTCCTTTTACTTTTGTTCTTTAGCAGTTGACTGTGGAGTGTATACAAGTTTGGCTCTGTTAATCTTCCTATTTGTAATTAGTGCAATTACCAGATATGTAGTATATGTCTAAATTCAGATTTTGTACATTTCAGGTGGCTAGGTAGTGTCCCACAGTTAATAAGTTTGGATATTTTTTTCTCTCTTTTACTTGAATCTTTTTGTTATTGTTCAAGTTCACCTAAGTTTTTCATTAGTGTCTAATATAACTCAAAAATCAAAGACTACTACCAATAAATAGAGCTCCTTGGAAAGTTTTATTGTTGTCATGATGCTTCTTTACTTGTGAATTCCATTCGTTCATAGCAATGTGGACCTCAGGCCTGCTGTGACCATACAACATGTGAGCTGAAATCACAGTCACAGTGTGATAAGGGACCATGCTGCAATCAGTGTCAAGTAAGAGTTAAAATTTATTAACATCAAGAAGTATATAATCAGTCATGTGCAGAATACGTGAGAACACTTAGAAATAGAGTAAATGATGTTTTAAATAAAAAGATCATAAATTTAGAGTTAGATTTCTGATCTTATGAATTTGGATGTTGGGGCCTCTTTCTAATGCCACAATTCTCACGAGTTTAATGCTGTCATTTTTAGTGCTTACTGAATAGTTTAAGCCTTGATTGTAAAACTCTTCAATACAGAAAATCCCCAGCAAACAGGACAGTTATTCTTCTGTATTTCTGTCCAATATGCATTATCTGCAGTGATTATACCTTTGTAAGTGAAAATGTTGTTAGTGGTTATGATAAGTAGCTGCACCTGGTAGTTGAAAGACATGGCAATTTGCCATGCAAGCATGAAATGTAAAACTCATTTGAGGAATATTTTCCAAATAGTGTATGTAACAAAAAGTTTAAACTGAACTTGTTATTTGGAAATAATTTGGCAGAACAACCATATTTCAGTTTATCTGGTGAAAATATTCATTGGTGTTTTGTTTGGCTTTTCAGTTACTAAAATATACTGTGTTTGTAACTAAACCCCTGTATGAGAGTATCTATGCTGAATGGCCAACTGTGGGCCTTGGTTTACGGACTGCCCTTGAGTGACATTTTCATGCTATTTAAACAATCCTGTCATATATTGCATCCTAACCTCCGTAAGCTTTATATCAACTTGAAATAATAAGTGATGAATTATGATCTCTAGATGCTCATTTAAGATTCTTATATAAATAAAAAATAAATAAAAATTAATGAACTATACCATAAATGAAGAAAATAATTATATTGGGGCTCTTTAAAATGCTTCCAGTGTAAAATTAGCTCTTTATTCACTTATTATTTTCCTCCATTTATTCTGTTATGTTTCATATTTGTCATACAATTTTTAAGTATTCCATACTTATATTTGTAAGTACTTATCAGTGTAGTACCAATGTAGTAGTAGTTTGAAGTTGGACATGGTGGCGCATGCCATCAAACCCAGGACTTTGGCTCTCTGAGGCCAGAAGTTCACAAGTTCAAGGTTAGCCTAAGGAATTTACTGACTGATGTCTCCTCTCAAAATTAAAAAAACAAAAGCTTTGAAGATATAGTTCAATAAGAAGGCCCTGGGCTCAATCCTCAATGCTACAAAAAACAAAAACACCAAACCAAAACAATAACAAATTGCAACTTATATAAATATATTCTATTTAGAAATGGACTTAAATAAGCATCTTTACCCAAAAAGAATAATTTTCCTCTCTTGCCCTTGAGACACAAAACTTAAGCTATTATCAGATTTTTCATCTCCTTTTTCTTATATATGTATTTTACCTCCCATTTTAACTGATAACCACTTAGTTTTTAGTGATTGGTATAATGATTTATAAAAATATTGACAGGTATTTATGAACCAAAAGTATAAAAATTATTATAATTTTGAAGTAAATATTGACAGGGCCAATGAGATAGCTCAGTGGACTAAGTGACTGTTTAAGCAAGCATGTAGACTGGGGTTCAATCCTCCTGGCACCACATGCTGAGCCAGCCCCACCCCCAGGCATGCTGAGCCGGCCACTAAGATTGGGCCTGATGACACACACCTGTAATC